CAAGTTGCACTTAAAGGAGGAAAGAAACAAGTTCAAAAACTTGAAACTAGAGTATGTATAATATGCAAATACAACCGACCGTTTACACGGTTTTCTATTATACACATAATTATATGTAACTCTATCATTTTAGGTCCGCGAACTTGAGAACGAACTTGATGCAGAACAGCGTCGAAATGGTGAATCTGTGAAAAACCAGCGTAAACATGAACGTAAGTTGAAGGAAGTCACTTATCAAGCAGAAGAAGACAAAAAGAATCTGACCCGCATTCAAGATCTTGTTGACAAACTTCAAATCAAGGTCAAAACATACAAGAGACAAGCTGAAGAAGCCGAGGAACAAGCCAACCAAAACTTATCAAAATATCGTAAACTGCAACACGAATTGGATGATGCTGAAGAAAGAGCTGACATGGCAGAATCTGCTCTCAACAAACTCAGATCTAAAGCTCGTGATATGTGAAGCAAAGTAAGTTGAAATGTCAAACGAATAAATTTTGAGACATAACTTGCTAGAACTCCTACATTACTAAGCTCATTTTTCACATTTGCAGGAAATGGAATAAATCAAACGCCATCATGAAATTTGGAAGGACTTCATGCTGCATCGTTTATTTTTGTTATGAATAGTATCTTCATTTCGTACTCTTGCCTTTCTTACATTTTCCATACCATTCTCTTTATTTTTCCTTTTCAAGTTCATGCCTATCCGTGATTTTGGTCTTGTGATATTTACGACTGAATATGCGTTGCTCGAATTATTTGAATTTTTTTTCACTCCGATCAATCAATCATGTGATATGTTTTTGTACTTACGTGATGTCTTTTTTTTATTACACTGAATTAATACAAATGTTGCAAATTACTTTACTTGTGTTTATTAATCAGTATAGATCACGTCAGGGAAAATCAAAATGGGTTCTTATTTGTCCGTTCATTCGAATAAACAACGGGTATTTAAACTTTTTTTGATACGGACCCGGAAAATATTTTCTTGGTTGTGCGAACCCCTTGCAAAGCGAACTGTACAAAATGCAGAAACATGATGAGAAATCAAGGGATAATCGACATTACATCTCAGATGCACAATTAAAGGGCTAAAATAGGCGAAACCACAAGACAAGCAAAATATCAGTTATCGTTGAAATTTTTTCAATTCATTCCATTCTTAACATTTTCACTGATCTTTCACCGACCCATTAGAAGTATTTCCCCGGCCCCTTGCGGGTTCGCAGGCCCCAGTTGAGAACCCACGGAATAAACTAACAACCAGTCAATCAATGAATAAAAATGCAACCAAGTATTATTTACAACATAGAAAATCCGTAAAGTTTACTGGTCGTACGCCGTTACGACTACGCAAACACACACACGCACACGCACACGCACAATTCTAATTGATTATTATCTACTATACAGATGAAACAATGTAGGGCTTCATATCGTTATGGTGCGACCTATTGAGATGAGCTAGAATTATCGCTCCATCGCTCATATACCTTATTTACCTCCTCCAAACGATATATAATTAGTGATGTATACGTGCTCTAGACATAAATAGGAATGCTCATGCAATTTTTTTCCAGATTGTTCAGATTGGGAAGGTTAAGCGACAAAGCATTTTCGAAGCTCAATGTTGTAAAATTATTACTGCCATGTTAGGTTCTCCATACTGTTAGGTATTCCACAAACTTGTAACATGTCATAATTCCATGAATGTTATTGCTCTTTGGAATATCAAATTGTCAGAATTGCTACTATCGGGGAAATGGGTCCCTACCCTGCGTGTTCTTATCCCAATGCTATTAAACGTATGTTAATGCCAAATGTTCGTATAATGCATAGTTGTACGATCGAATTGAAATGATCTAAAACAGTTATTTTGACCTATATATACCTAAACCTTTACACAAGTCATATAGTTTAAATCCAAATCAGTAATGCCACGAAAACATAAAAAGCTATATTCCCAAGTCTCAACTCTCGACCGGTGGCCGAAAGCATGTTATTGATCGCTCGGTACTGAAAAGCTACTGCCTAAAGACTAAGGTGTTGCTACGATAAATCACCATCAGGGAAATTGCTGAATTGGCATATTTTTATTGAATTCAACACGATAATAATACGACTGTGTTAAAACAATGAAAGTCATAGTTACATTCACATTCGATACATTACAGATATTTGAACACTATATATATTTAAAAATAAAGACGTTCTCATTCTGACCCAGCCCTGGCTGACTTACAGCCACACGAGCTATACATAATCATGTGTTTTGCAGTCATTTGAGCCAATCTGATAAGCGAACTGCAAGTATAATTACACGCAGGTCATTTTCTTTGATTACTCCTACTCCAGCAGAGCTCTGCGCCATCCAAGATTGATCGTTATTTTGAAGATGATGTTCGACTGCCCGTCAATCCTATTTTCTTCAAGTCTGCTTCACGCCACCCTTGTTGTCGGCACGCTTTTTTTCATATCCAGCTTTTTCCATATAATTGACGATCGCAGCATAATATTGACATCCGTTAAAATTCCTTGAATTCATTCAACATGCTGTGTTTTGTTATATTAAAATTATTTCGTTCGAATACTGACATACTTTTTGCGTTTTTATTTATTTTAATGCAAAAGTGTTTTTCGTTCAATGTAAAAGCAAGATGTCATGCATACATAGAATTTCATACACAGAACTTCAGAATAATTATAATTTTCATCTGCTTCTGGAACTGGTAATTTTATATGAAAGGGTCTAGTCTACAATTATGCATTATCTCTGAATCGCTCGTTTACCCTGATTTTTCATTTTGCAAGAAAGATTTTCCACTCCAATGTTTGAAGGCAAGTATGTTGCATTTCAAAAGTATGATAACAACGCCAAAATGAATCAGAAATTTGTTATCTGTAAACATAATCAGACTACTTGGCACTATGCCGCTGTTTTCCAAGGTTATATAAATCATTTTTTTCATCAAACATGGATATTATGGAAAAGTAATATACATGGTTTGCGGTTATTAAAAACTTTTATCATTTAAGAAAAGCTGTGTCATGTTTCATGTGTAAATTATAGCACATGTACAGTTATGATAAATCTGGATATTGCACACCGCTATATACGTGGCGAAACTATTATCAAAGGCAATGTACCAAAAACACCATGCAGAAAAAAAAATCAAATTATTTAAAGAGTAATTTTCAACCTAAAATTGTTTTTTCTAGAAATTTAGTATAGAACCTGGTCCAAGGTATTCTTCGAACTGCTATTCTGCGCGGTACGCAAAATTAACAAGAACATTTGGGTATCAAGATGCCCTTTACGCGACCTCACAGACAACATTCAATTTATCTGAAATTTACACTTGGATATTGAGAGAATATCTAAATTTCTCATTAGGCTTTGACGCTTCCGGTCTTTAATGTTTACAAAAACCTAACTTTCATTTATTCTATAGAAAGTTTTGTAAAATACCTTAATGAGCTGAATTTTGCCAAGCTGTGCGACAAACAAAGGGCAATCTGACCGTATCTACAAAAATTGTAACCTCACGATGTAGTGAACGAACGCATTGCATTCTATTCAATGGCCACCCAATACGGAATCAACCGAGACCCAATTTTGTCGGGAGACATTGTGTCGAATTTGAATGTTTAAGTGACATTAGTAAAAATTCAAGTTTGAGTACAAATACAAAAGTCCAGTAGTCGGCCAACAGCAGAATTAATTTACATTGCTGAACTTTAGAGTGTGCTACTCAGTATTGTTTATTCTTGTCAGCTTATTCTTATTAGTTAAATAAATTGTCTAAGAAAATTATATGAAACACTTATGACCTTGGAAATCTTTTGGGGGTATGGAGTTTTGCGTATGGGGAGGTTTTTAAACCAATTTGTACGACGGTTTGGAAATTGAGGGTAATTTTTAACAAGACTCTGAAGACAATCATATGTAAACATGTAGCTTCTGTATCTACGTGTCATTGTGCCTCTTTAGCACGTTCAATCTCATTATTGTTACAGTTGGACAGGGAGTGAATAGTGTGACTAAAATGTTGTTGTTATTTTGATGGCTGTTGTTGTGAAATCACTGCACCAAACGATTATACAGTAATGGAAGTGAGTCCCTAACTGCCTGTCCTTATTAAATAAAATATATATTTTTTTTATATTGCTTTCAACTGCAGTAAAGTCACTAACATGCAGCTACATTTTCATTCATTTTTTGATAGTCGTTAATTCAGGTTTACATTTATTTCACAAACGCCGCTGCACGGCTAGAAAGAATGAAATGCAAAGTAGCATTCCTTGTTCTGGGATATCCCCAAAATTTTCTGCGGGCTCATACCTTGTTCCTGCATCCTTAAAAGGGAACTGCAATAATAAACAAATAGAGTCGCCTAAAGTCAATGCTCCGTGCAATCACAGAAGCTAAGACAAATAACCCCCATTCCCCGGAAAAACTGTCTAATACCAAATATCTGCATTTCTGTTTTATCCACTGAATATTTATTGTACATGAATTATAAAACAATTGGAGAGAACTGTTCATCCTGTTTTGATGAATTCTAATTTTTGTAACATAATGTTGGCCAATATGAAACGTGTCAAATCAGACAGAAAACAGTTAATTGTTTGGAGCGAAAAACACAGCTTGCGCTCGCGTAACTGATCTTCGATTGTGTGATGCGATCACTAATAGCAGTATTCTCTCTTAGCGTCGCGAGCAAAAGTTCAACAATATTCAGCTGTTTAATTAACACATTGAGTGCGAATGCGTTTGCCGTGTTGCGTTTCAAATGTTGGCGTATAAAAACTCGACCACATTTCGATTTAAATCATTATCGTCGCTGATGAATATTCGTACACATCAAGCATTGTTCTGTAAATTGTAATCTTTCTCGTATCCAGGGAGTCAAAGTTCTTTCTATAACTCTGAATAGACAACAATAACTTATGCCTGTATTTTTAATTATTCAGATAAATTAGGTGAACGAATAAAAATTATTTAAAGACTAAATTTTAAAGCACCCAGCTAATATGGCAACTTTGGATTTATCTATATTTCAAGATGCAGCACCTTACTTGCGAATGTCTCAGGAGGAAATGCTGAAATTGCAAACGCAAAAACCAGATGGTAATATTTCCTTTTAATAATCTGCTTATAAATTGAAATTTGAAATTATATCTAACCCATGTTATTCCCTTATTCCAGGTAAAAAATATGCCTGGGTTCCAGACAAGGAAAAATGTTATTTGAAAGGGGAGGTTCTTGGTATTGATGGAGGAAAGGCGAAACTGAAGACAAGCGACGACGGAAAGGTGCTGTATACAAAGCTTGTACTTAGATACACATTTTGTATATTTGATATTTACTGAAATCGAACTTTTTTGATAGGAGGTAACTGTCAAAGAAGATGATCTCCAACTGATGAATCCACCGCGATACAACAAATGCGAAGACATGGTAAACATGACCCACTTGAACGAAGCCAGCGTACTCAACAATCTCAAAGAAAGATACGAAGCTTTCATGATTTACGTAAGTATCTACATAACCTTGTTTATCAAACGTCTGTTTGTATATCACCAATCGTGTAATTATGTTATATCGTAATATCTAGACATACTCCGGTCTTTTCTGCGTCACTGTGAACCCGTACAAGATGTTGCCTGCATACGCCCCATACGTTATCAACGCTTACAAGGGAAAGAGACGAACTGAAATGCCTCCTCACTTGTATTCCATTGCCGATAACGCTTATACCGAGATGTTGATGAGTAAGTAGTTATTGACTATAATTATATATATATTTGATTTCTATTCAATTTTTCATATATATATATTTTGTTTTATTTAGACCGAGAAAATCAATCTATGTTGATTACGTGAGTAATTTATAATATTTCAAATTTTTTATATTGTTTATGACATGAACATTGTAAATGGAATTTTTTTTACACAGTGGAGAATCTGGAGCTGGTAAAACAGTGAACACTAAGAAAGTTATTCAGTATTTTGCGTTGGTGGCTGCTGACGGAAATGCAGGTGGAAATGATGATAAGGTGAGTGACAACTTAACAATTTAAATATTAGATAACATATTGAAAACCAGCAGCATGCTCTACTACAATTTTAAATGATATTTTGTTACATTGATTAATCTAATTTAAAAGCTACGATGAACATGCATGATCTGTTTAGAACTGAAGCAGTAAAACAAGCAAGTTTGAAACATAAAAAACTGCCGGTCGTTTTCGATTGCAAACCCGGGTAAATAATGGTATGATTAATTCCCGCTTGGTATAATGCTTATGTTTTTGTATTTGAAGGGAACACTTGAAGATCAAATCGTCCAATGCAACCCTGCTATGGAAGCGTTTGGTAACGCGAAGACTGTAAGGAATGACAACTCCTCTCGTTTTGTAAGTATTATATTTTTTTTATGTTTTCTCTCACTGCGATTTAATATAATATAACTATAATGTCGTTATTATATTTCAGGGAAAATTCATCCGAATTCACTTTGGAAGTACCGGAAGCCTTGCATCTGGAGATATTGAGCATTGTGAGTACTGACAGAATTATGGAGTTTATCTGCTTCAGCATTATATTCGATTCGAAGTAATTTTAAACTTGAATTCTTTTTGTAGATCTTCTTGAAAAATCTCGTGTCATTTGGCAACAAGGTGGCGAGAGAAACTACCATATCTTTTATCAGCTCATCTCTGGATCAAAACCTGAACTCATCGGTATATATTACACATATGATATTGATCACTTAACCTTCATTCTATAATTTCACATTATCACATATACAAATTTTGTTCAACAGATCAACTGCTTCTTACGAAGGACCCTTATGACTATAAATCCATCAGTCAGGGAGTGGTTACCGTCAACAATCTCGATGACGGAGAAGAATTGATTTTGACTGACGTGAGACTTTTGGTTGTTTGGATGTGTTGAATTTATATTATTTGTAATAATACTTTTTTTTATTAACTTTATGATTTATTTCAAAGGATGCATTCAAAGTTCTTGGTTTTACACCCGAGGAAATTAGTGGAATCTATCGAATCATGGCTGGTATTATGCATCAACAAAACATGAAGTTCAAAAACAAGCAACGTGAAGAACAAGCTGAACCTGATGGCACAGAAGGTTCATATACAACAATTTTAAGTTTTCTAAACCCAGTGTTCCACTTTATTGTATGAGATATACTCAATTAACGCTATTCATCGTATTCAGATGCCGACAAAGTTGCATATTTGTTCGGTATGAACTCTGCCGATTTTCTCAAGTACTTGTGCCATCCACGCGTGAAAGTTGGAAACGAATACGTAACAAAAGGACAAACTGTCCCTCAAGTTACCTATGGTATTGGTGGATTGAGTAAAGGTGTTTTTGAAAAACATTTCAACTGGTTGGTCAAAATCATCAACAACAGTCTCAGCACTAAACTGCCAAGAAGTTACTTCATTGGTGTACTCGATATTGCTGGTTTTGAAATCTTTGATGTAAGTATCCGTTATTTATTTTTTATCATGTAGTCATACAATGAGCATATAGTTTTCAAATAACCCATGAATCACTTTAATATAGTTCAACAGCTTCGAGCAACTTTGCATTAACTTCACCAATGAAAAATTGCAACAATTTTTCAACCATCACATGTTCGTTCTTGAACAAGAAGAATACAAGAAAGAAGGAATTGATTGGGTTTTTATTGATTTCGGTATGGACTTGGCTGCGTGTATCGAACTTATCGAAAAGGTTCGTATTTACAAAGCAATGATTAATAAAATAATTTCCAAATTGTTAATATATATATATAAATTTTTATCCATATTTTTACATTAGCCTCTTGGAATCATGTCCATCCTCGAAGAAGAATGCATGTTCCCGAAAGCCACTGACAAGTCGTTCATGGACAAATTGTACCAAAATCATTTGGGCAAAACAAAAGCATTCGGAAAGCCAATTAAGAAAACAAAATTCGAATCTCACTTTGAACTTCACCATTACGCTGGAACTGTAAGCATGAGTTTTATATGCTCCTAGCTACAATTCTGTTTTTCTTTTTACATCACATAACTCATTTCACATTAATTTTCTATTGAAGGTCGGATACAGCATCACTGACTGGCTTGAGAAGAACAAGGAACCATTGAACAACAGCGTTGTAGATCTGTATAAAAAGTCATCTTTGAAACTTATGCAAACTATCTGGGAAGGATATTTGAGCCCAGAGGAAGCAGCTGCAGCAGCAAAGTCTGGTGGCAAAAGAAAAAAGGGAGGTTCTTTCAACACTGTATCTTCCATGCATAGAGAGAGCTTGAACAAACTCATGACAAATCTGAGGTATGTAATAAACACATGAATATATTATTTCATTTAGTACAAACATACATTCGACGTTTCATCTCACGAATGCAAATTTTCCAGATCCACCGCCCCACATTTCGTCCGTTGTATCGTTCCCAACGAAACAAAAACTCCAGGAGTTATGGATCCTCACGTCGTTTTACATCAGCTTCGTTGTAATGGTGTGTTGGAAGGTATTCGTATTTGCCGCAAAGGTTTCCCTAACAGACTTCCTTATGGTGATTTCAAGCAAAGATATCGTATCCTAAATCCAAATGCCGTTCCCGATGGTCAGTTCTTGGACAGCAAGAAGGCTTCTGAAAAGATTCTCACATCCCTTGAGGGAATCGACCACGAAAAATACAAGTTAGGTCATACTAAGGTAAGCATAGTTAATGCATATTTTGTTAATTTATGAGTAGCTGGGATAAATTATGGTCACTCTTATTACCTATCATTTACTATCCCCAGGTTTTCTTTCGTGCTGGTATGTTAGGTGTTTTGGAAGAACTTCGTGACAACAAATTATCTTCGATCTTCAAACTTATTCAAGCTCGTATGCGCGGTAAATTGATGAGAATTGAATACAACAAACTTATTGAAAGAAGGTAAGAGAGTTTCTATTATCATTCTTATGATGGAATAAAGAATGAACCTCATCCTAACTGAATCTAACCTTCATTTAGAGTTGCAGTTAGAGTTCTTCAATCTAACCTTCGTGCTTTCTTTGGTGTACGTGACTGGGAATGGATGAAACTGATGTTCAAGATCAAGCCACTCCTCCAAACTGCTGAAGCAGCTAAAGAACTTGAACAACTGGAAGCCGAAAATGAAGAACTCAAAATCAACTTGGAAAAAGAGTCAAAGAGACGAAAAGAACTTGAAGAGTCTCAAGTATCTCTCATTCAAGAGAAGAATGATTTGGTTTTGCAGTTGCAATCTGTAAGTACTAAAATTGCATAATGTAATGTGAGCATAGCGAGGACTGCACCAAAATAATTTGAATATATTTTATTACAATAGGAACAAGATAGAATCGACGATGCAGAAGATCGTTGTGATCAACTTATCAGGACAAAAGTTGAATTAGACGGAAAAATCAAGGAAACACAAGAAAGACTCGAAGATGAAGAAGAATTAAACAACGAATTGGTTTCAAAGAAACGCAAGCTAGAAGATGAATGCTCTGAATTAAAGAAGGATATCGATGATCTTGAAATAACTCTTGCTAAAGTGGAAAAAGAAAAACATGCAACTGAAAATAAGGTATGTTGTCCATGATTTGCATAATGCAATTATAATGAGCTAAAGCCTAAATCTAAATCTTCGATTTATGTTGCATCTATTATTTTAGTTGAAAAACTTGCAAGAAGAACTCGCATCACAAGATGAACTGATTGCAAAACTTCAAAAAGAGAAGAAAGCACTTCAAGAAGCACATCAACAAACATTGGATGATTTACAAGGGGAGGAAGACAAAGTCAACAGTCTCACTAAGCAAAAAGCAAAACTTGAACAACAAGTTGATGATGTATGTATATACTACTACTATTATTCAAATTTAATTTATTTATATTTGCGTTTCAATTTATAATTTCATTGTATCTTTAGCTTGAAGCATCTCTCGAACAAGAAAAGAAACTCCGAATGGATCTGGAGCGAACTAAGAGAAAGTTGGAAGGAGATTTGAGACTTACTCAAGAAACAGTCATGGATCTTGAAAATGATAAGCAGAGATTGGAAGAGAAATTGAAGAAGCAAGAATTTGAATATAATCAACTCGCAACCAAACTTGAAGATGAACAAGCACTTGTTATGCAACTTCAAAAGAAAATCAAAGAACTTCAAGCTCGCATTGAGGAACTAGAAGAAGAACTCGAAGCTGAACGTGCAGCAAGAGCAAAGGTTGAAAAGCAAAGAGCTGATCTTTCTCGAGAGTTGGAAGAATTAAGTGAACGACTTGAAGAGGCAGGCGGTGCCACTGCTGCACAGGTAAAAATAAAAACATACTCATTGTTCATATACATATTTGAATTTAATGACATAATTAAACAACATATTGAATTCACCTTTTAGCTGGAACTGAACAAACGTCGTGAAGCTGAATTTTCAAAACTTCGCCGCGAGTTTGAGGAATCTAATCTTTCCCACGAGGCAACAGTTTCAACATTACGTAAGAAACATGCTGATTCAAGTGCTGAAATGAGCGAACAAGTCGATAATTTACAAAGAGTCAAACAGAAATTGGAAAAAGAAAAGAGCGAAATGAAAATGGAAATTGATGATCTCGCTGCTAACGTTGAAAGCGTAACGAAAGCGAAGGTATATTATATATCAATGTATTTCATGCTTTTTATTACTGATTATACTGAATACTAAAACTTTTTTGGTATTTAGCTCAATTACGAAAAAATGTCGCGCAATCTTGAGGAGCAATATGGTGAAGCAAAGGCAAAGTGCGACAATTTAACGAAAGAAGTTAACGAATTGAACGCGGCTAAAGCACGATTTGCGTCAGAAAATGGTAACTTGATATACAGTTTGAAATCTTGGCATGTAATAAATAATCATTGATTTATTGTTTTCATACTAATCAACGCATACTTTCCATAAGGTGAATTATCCCGCCAACTTGAAGAACGTGAACATTTGATGGCTCAACTGACAAGAACCAAGAACAGTTCATCACAACAAATCGAAGAACTCAAGCGAGTCGTTGAAGAAGAAGCCAAAGCGAAGGCTGCTTTCGCACATTCTGTACAAGCTTCAAGACACGACAATGACCTTCTTCGTGAACAATATGAAGAAGAACAAGAAGCAAAGGCTGAACTTCAACGAGCTTTGTCAAAAGCAAACGCCGAAGTTGCACAATGGAGAAACAAATATGAAACCGACGCAATTCAGAGAACTGAAGAATTAGAGGAGGCAAAGTTAGTAAATCGATCAATTTGTTCTCGCATATTTTTCATTGTTCGGCTCATATTTATAACTTAACATTTATTCTCCAGAAAAAAGTTGGCCACCCGCTTGCAAGAAGCCGAAGAACAAGTTGAAGCAACGCAAGCAAAATGTGCAAGTCTTGAAAAAACAAAGAACCGTCTCCAAGGGGAATTGGAAGATCTTACGATCGACCTCGAGAGATCAAACTCAGCTGCTGCAGCATTAGACAAGAAGCAAAGAAACTTTGATAAGGTTGGTCTATAATAAAAAACATTCTAGTTTAAACATGCATGTCACTACAGTGGCCATCGTCTAATTTGAAAACCTCATATTCAGATTCTTGCTGAGCACAAACAAAAAGAAGAAGAATTGCAAGTCGATTTAGAACAAGCACAAAAGGAAGCCCGTGGTTTGTCAACTGAATTGTTCAAAATGAAAAACGCTTATGAAGAATCCCTTGATGCTCTGGAAACAGTCAAACGAGAAAATAAGAATCTCCAGGAAGAAATTGCAGATCTTACTGACCAACTAGGAGAAGGCGGAAAAAGCATTCACGAACTTGAGAAGGCGAAGAGAACTTTGGAACATGAACGAAATGAAATACAGGTCAGTCTTGCCTCCGACAATGTCGAATTAATTAGGTTTCGTTTTTTAAAATCAATTTATTTAAACTCTATAATTAAAATGTACAGGCCGCTCTGGAGGAAGCAGAAGGTGCCATTGAAGGTGAAGAATCAAAGGTTCTTCGTTTACAAGTAGAAATGGCTCAAATTAAACAAGACTTTGAAAGAAGACTGAGTGAAAAAGAAGAAGAAATTGATAGCCAAAGGTAATTCATTAAAATATGGTTAAATCGTCGGATTTTTTTTTATATATTTTGCCAGTTTTACTTGGAAAGTAGACGTTTTACTATAATTTCAGTCGCAGTCAAGTATTAATATATTTTGAATATCACAGACGTAACCAGCAAAGATCTCTTGAATCTATGCAAACTACTCTGGATTCTGAAAGCAAAGCAAGGCAAGAAGCAGTTCGTATGAAGAAGAAGATGGAAGGAGATCTCAACGATCTTGAAATTCAACTCGGACATTCTACCCGACAAGCTACTGATTCCCAGAAAGCAGTTAAAGCTGCTCAAGCCCATGTCAAAGTAAATTTGGTTGCCAAGCATAACTTATACCTCAACTACATTATATCAGTTATTATAAAATGTTTTTGTGCTTTAGGATTTGGAATTGCAAGTGGACGAAGCTCAACGTCACTCTGAGGATCTGCAAGAACAATTTGCTGTCATCGATCGCAGAGAAAACCTGCTGAAAGCTGAAATTGATGAGTTGAGATCAGCACTTGAACAAGCAGAACGTGGCCGAAAACTTGCTGAAACTGAACTTCTCGAAAGTAGCGAACGATCCAATCTTCTTCACACACAAAACACCGCTCTTATCAACCAGAAACGCAAGTTGGAAGGTGAATTGCAAAATATGCAAGGAGAGGTTGAAGAATCTGTTCAAGAACAAAGAAACGCAGAAGAAAAGGCAAAGAAAGCTATTACAGATGTACGTTTTCATAAAATCGAAAATTCATATACATTTTCGAGACTTCTCAATAAAGAATTCAGTGTTTCATTTGTTAGATTAACCTACTTATTTTTTCAATTCAGGCTGCAACTATGTCTGAGGAACTTAAGAAAGAACAAGATCTTTCATCTCACTTGGAAAGAATGAAGAAGAACATGGAACAAACAGTGAAGGATCTTCAGCAACGACTCGATGAAGCCGAACAAGTCGCACTTAAAGGAGGAAAGAAACAAGTTCAAAAACTTGAAACTCGGGTATGTATAATATTACCAATGCAGTACTATCAAATTGTAAATATTTTTTACATAACTGAATGACTTTTCGATCTTTTAGGTGCGCGAACTTGAAAATGAACTTGACACCGAACAACGTCGCAATGGTGAATCTGTGAAGAACCAACGTAAATATGAACGCAAGTTGAAGGAAGTGACATACCAAGCAGAAGAAGACAAAAAGAATCTGACCCGCATCCAAGATCTCGTTGAAAAACTACAAATCAAGGTCAAAACATACAAGAGACAAGCTGAAGAAGCCGAGGAACAAGCCAACCAAAACTTATCAAAATATCGTAAACTGCAACACGAATTGGATGATGCTGAAGAAAGAGCTGATATGGCAGAATCTGCTCTCAACAAACTCAGATCTAAAGCCCGCGATATGTAAAACCACTCATAGATTCTCAATTTTTATATTAGATTTTTCTTTACCGTATTTCCCAGTTTTGATAATTTAATACCTTTTCCATTTTCAAGCGCTGAATAGCTTCAATGTAGTCACAAGTTATGTAATTTATAATGATGCCACTCAACCTATCTGATTTATTTTTATTTTTTATAATTTTAAATTTAAGTCTTTGCCTATCCATGCTTTTTTTGTGTACATTTATTACAAACACTGTTATTGAAATACGTTTTTCATGTAATCGGATCAATTCATGTGATATGTGTTTTTGTTTTTTTATTTTTTTTATAAATATGTTATAATTTTCTTACTGTTTAAAACTGTGTCAATAAACATGACTACTACTGCAATATGTGTTCGAACGTTTGATACGTGACAAATCTGAAATACTCTCTCTAGTTTTCCAATTGGGTTGTTGTAATTCAACAACTGAGCTGTTTTTATCAATAAAATTTACTCGTGTTGAGGTGTTACACGTCAAATATTTTTCTAATAATGTTGTGTTGTAGCTAAAGACATCGTTGGAAACGTCGAAATTTGATAACAAGTTAGTCGGAAGTAGTCGGGGGAACAATGTTAGCAAAGAAATGAATTGAAAGGATCTTATTTTTTATACTTTTAATGAGTTAAACTGTTGTGTGAGTTCTAAAGACACAATGCTTGCATATATGGACAAGGAGATCAAAGTACTAACCGAGACGTAGCAGTATCCCCTGTAGCCTATACGCAAAAAGCTGTTATCCGATATTTCAAATGTTTCAGAACAGATCATGTCGCACCCCCGTAGGTGCTGTTTGAGAATTTGAATTGCACAAGCAAATATACTGTGAATTGTGCTGTAAAATCGAAATCACGCTTCACATCTAATCAAATCTGTTCATTTGCTATGGACATGGCGCTGTACAAGCAACTAATCAAAAATGAGATATGAATCTACACGTTCACCCTGAACTCGGTTGAACTACTTATATGCTTGAGGTATTATTCAATGAAGCGGGTCGACAAACCCCCCTTTTGGAATGTGTAAAAAAGACGACCTATGGGCGCGCATAAAAGCGCATAAAACTTTATGGCTCCGTCTCCGGATGCCGTCAAGTAAAAGCGACATGATCGTGAAGGCGATTTAAGACCTTACCCCGATCTTTGACCCCCATAAAATTCTTCCTATACTTTACCATTGCCAAATTTTCGGTGCCTATTTTAAAAGTGGTTTTAAAGGTTGGCGCCTGTAAAATAGGGTATCATTCTGATTCATAGCAATCAACAATCTGCTTTTAAAAGTACCGGTAAAGAATTTCAGCCTAGTCTATCACAGCTATTTCTACACTAATTTTTGATTACTGCAATTAAACTGAAACTCCTAAAAAGACAAAGTGAACATTGAATTATTTGATATATATTTAGATATCCGAAACACAACTTAAAACTAACAAATAGATTTTAAAAACGAGAAAACAAGGTAATGTTCACGGCGACGCCTTAAAATCTGTCTGAGCCAGAAGTGTCTGGGCGGATGCGAAACTAAGTCCCTTTTTGCATCTTGCTGATTGGCCAATGTCATGAAGTAAACAAGGAAGTCGATGCTCGGGGAAACATCCATTCAGTCCGCAATTTCCATTTGAAGCCCATGTTCTCGGCGAATTCTGACATATTCAGTTTCGATTTCTAAAAACATTATGTACCACACATAGCAATTTTCAGAACATCAGCTTTCTTAGAAACTCGCGTTTTGCGGCCTTCGGCCAGACCACCTGTTAGAGTCAAACTTGGCAATTACAAATTTCAGGATGCTTCCGAGGTATGCGTACCAAGATAGCGCACAACTTGAGAGCGGTATGCGTACCGGGTTAGGATTCAGGTTGTGCGTCATCTTGGTACACATACTTCCGGTTTAAGCATATGGCGAACCAAAGCCTCTCGTCCTGTGACTATTTCCTGTCGGGTATGAGATTAGTTAGTTATTTGTTTTCGGAAGCATGGACTTAATGGTGGAGGAAGCCGTAACCGACCAGCGATTACGTGAACCACCCCACGGCGGCGAGGAGTCCAGCAATCCTCTCGCACATAACCATTCTGCATGGGATTCGAACCTGCGAACCCACGCAGAGTAATTAGAGGTGCGGTGGCGAGCGTATTCCTAGCATGAATAACGGATTGTTAAACGATAATGAATAAACGAACACCGAGTTTCATCAGATAATTCAGAGTCTTGAAACTTTTTATCTGAAGGAGAATGATGTCGTTTCCGAGGCCTCGCTCGCGTGCCGGATAAATGGGCTCGCGTGCCAGAGGTTGCCCACCCCTGAGCTACCCTATACGATCTCTCCTGCCTGGACAAAACGCATCACATACGTGGGCGTCTGGCAAGCCCGCGAGAATCTACAAATGGCACTTGCGGACAGCGAGAAAAACGAGCACTCGTCAAGTTTACGTGTGTGTACGTGATGTTTTGTTTTTGTTTTCATTACCTATGATACCGTTTTCATTTCTAAATGATCTTAATGCGCATCGACCAAGCACGAGTTTTAACACTTTTTTTTCATGGACCACGATGGAAATATCATTTTGGCTATGTACGAATGCCATTAGCGTTGATTAAGTCAGTATAGAGGGAATATGACACTGAGTCATCACTGCCGGGCTGATTACCGTACTGGTATATACAACGACGAAATTGAGGAATTTTTATTAAACGCGAAAATAATACAGACGCAATAGAAAAATACAAGTGAACGACAATTATTTAATAAGTCTGTTTACGATGATGAGACGCAATATTTAGTAGTAGTCGTGACATAACAAGAATTGGCGAAAAGATTGCTTATCAACACTAATATGCCCGTTGCGGTAATGATGAACCACGCGACCGGCGAAAGAATTCAGAGATTAAAACATAATTAACAGAGTAAAAATAAAAGTGCGTTATTAACGTATTTTTCGGCCTTACAGTAATTATCAAAAGAACAAAGTATCGACCAGCACCAGGCCCTTATCCCACTTCCAGCTATTTTAAAACTATTCGAATACTTGGTATATATTCGTTGCACAAAATTCGAATTATTTTATTAAAATATTTGACCCTCCTTCTTAGTGAATTATTCAGTAAATTCGTTTCCATTTTAAAATTTCATATACGTTTATTTATACAACCCTACTTTATCATGTAGTATACAAAGAAAAATAAGTAAAGCAAAATAAATAGAGCGAAGAACAAAATGCATTCAATCGCACAAAAGTGCATACTACGTACGTTCATCTGAACAATTCATGAATATGTGTAAAGGTAAAGGAATGCTAAATGTGTGCTAATCATAAGCAATACTCCTTTTTACTATTAGATCTGAAAGATTTAGAGACAATGACGGGAGCACCGACCTAAACTGCAATACTTCGCACGCAAGGACGGGTCAGTGATCTGTACAAGTAAAGTGAAATGTTCTTTGCGGGGAAGAGGTAGGCAGATACGCTTGGACGGACAGGCAAGCAAAGTATTCGACAACTGAACGGAAAAAACCGAAAAGTATGTAAGTTTTTATCTACTCAAACTTTTTCGTGTTTCCTAATTAACTCACAGATTGTGACAATAATAGGGTTGCCATACCGTCGGAAAAATTCCGCACATGTCCGGAGTTCAGGGTTAAATTTTGCGTTCGGGAATGATTTAAAAAATGCTCAAATGTCCGGAATCAGGAAATTTAGTGCATCGGTAATAATACTGTGCACACTGCTAATACATAACATTGTTATTTCGTACCGTTCGTCCGTGCGCATATTTTTTACTACGAGGTGATGAAAATAGTCACGCACTGTCCGGAATTTTGCTTTTTTAAATATGGTGACCCTAGACTATAACTGACATGACATGTATATAGTAAAGACAACGCATAACTAAGTCCATGCGAAAAGAGCCCCATCATCAATCTTTCGTAACTTTAACACCATTGATATGGAAACAAAATCACAAAATATTTCATTTATCATTATGATATGTATAATTTATTTTATTCAGCTTTGTAAGTTGACTTCAAAGTCACCATTTAAATTGAAAACATTTTATCACACTGAGAGTTCCCAATTTGAACCATTCATCAGTTCTTTCTTTCATTCTCTGAAAAACATAAGCATAAGTTGTGATTATTGAAGATTCAACGAATTTGAAATTAAAAAATCGTTATTTAAATTTCAACTTACGTTGCTTCACATATCACGAGCTTTGGATCTGAGTTTGTTGAGAGCAGATTCTGCCATGTCAGCCCTTTCTTCAGCATCATCCAATTCGTGTTGCAGTTTACGATATTTCGATAAGTTTTGGTTGGCTTGTTCCTCAGCTTCTTCAGCTTGTCTCTTGTATGTTTTGACCTTGATTTGAAGTTTGTCAACAAGATCTTGGATGCGGGTCAGATTCTTTTTGTCTTCTTCTGCCTGGTATGTCACTTCCTTCAACTTGCGTTCGTATTTACGTTGGTTCTTCACAGATTCACCATTGCGACGTTGTTCGGCGTCAAGTTCATTTTCAAGTTCGCGTACCTAAAAAGACCAGAGTTCAATTAATTATATAGCATCAAATATAACTACAACCTATAGTAGTACCAAATATATATAAGTAACAATATACGCACCCTAGTTTCAAGTTTTTGAACTTGTTTCTTTCCTCCTTTGAGTGCAACTTGTTCGGCTTCGTCGAGTCTTTGCTGAAGATCTTTCACTGTTTGTTCCATGTTCTTCTTCATTCTTTCCAAGTGAGATGAAAGATCTTGTTCCTTCTTAAGTTCTTCAGACATAGTAGCAGCCTGAAATGATGTTCAAGTGAAAATTTTAAATCAGCAAATAAATGATGAGGATGGATCAGAAATATATTTTCACGAACTTACATCAGTGATTGCTTTCTTTGCCTTTTCTTCTGCATTTCTTTGTTCTTGAACAGATTCTTCAACTTCTCCCTGCATGTTTTGCAGTTCACCTTCCAATTTACGTTTCTGGTTAATAAGTGCGGTGTTTTGCGTATGAAGCAGATTGGATCGTTCGCTGCTTTCGAGGAGTTCAGTTTCTGCAAGTTTGCGACCACGTTCTGCTTGTTCAAGTGCTGATCTCAACTCATCGATTTCAGCCTTGAGTAAGTTTTCTCTACGATCGATGACGGCGAATTGTTCTTGCAGATCTTCAGAGTGACGTTGAGCTTCATCAACTTGCAATTCCAAATCCTAAACACCAATGAAGTTTAATAAAAGTGGGAATACTAAGAATGAAAAAATGTCAATTTCCGAATATGTACTTACTTTAACATGAGCTTGCGCAGCTTTAACTGCTTTCTGGGAATCAGTAGCTTGTCGAGTAGAATGTCCAAGTTGAATTTCAAGATCGTTGAGATCTCCTTCCATCTTCTTCTTCATACGAACTGCTTCTTGTCTTGCTTTACTCTCAGAATCAAGAGTAGTTTGCATTGATTCAAGTGATCTCTGTTGGTTACGCCTGTAATATAGGT